AAATGACAAAGTTTACATGTTAACGTTAAAACTGAAAATTCACAGTGAAGATATAATACTTAGGAATATTTATGCACAAATCACCATAGCATCCACCTTCGTAAGGCCAAAAAGTATGGAGGCGTTGAACCACGGTAGTAATAGGAGATTTAATACATGGCAAGTCTCAGTACAAGGCAAATCCGGTGGTACAATAAAGAGAAGTATACAGAAAATCTAAACAACATAATTCATAAGATACATTGTATGTGTGTATATACACATAGGCATAGATACACACACACATGCACGCATAACTCTACACCTTGGAAATGAAGGATAAACCACCTTGTCAGAAGCTGATGGCACGTTAATGAAACACGATTATAATTATCTCACAGTGAAGACCTCATTAATTTCCATGAAGTAGAAATATTACACCCAACCCTTTGCAATCGTGGTGAAACAAAAGTAGAACTTACTAACAGAAACTGAAATCAGAAAGGGTCTTCTACTTAGAAAAAAAAAATGTTTAAGCCTTCTGTTAAGCAAATGTTGAGATAAAAAGGAGACACAAACTGAAGTTACAGAAATATTTAAGAAGAGTGACAATGGGCGCTTACGTATGAGAATCTGTAGAAGATATTTAAAGCAGTGATTGGAGGCAGATTCAGACCGCTAAATACTCTGATCAGTAAAAATGAAAGAATAAAATTAAATAAATTAAAGCATTGCCTCAAAAATCTAATAGAAGAACAACCAGGGAATCCAAAAGAAACACAAATAAATAAATAATATAAAAGCAGAAATTGCCAGTCTTGGTGGCTCACACCTGTAATCCCATCACTTTGAGAGGCTGACGTGGCAGGATCACTTGAGGCCAGGAGATTGACACCAGCCTGGGCAACATAAGGAGGCCCTGCCTCTACAAAAATAATAATAATGATGACAATTCATTAGCTGGGCGTGATGGAACATGCCTGTAGTCCTACTTACTCAGGAGGCGGAGGTTGGAAGATAGCCTGAGACCAAGAGCTGGAGGCTGCAGTGAGCTATGATCACGCCACTGTACTCCAGACTGAGTGATCCAGGGAGACTCGGTCACTAAAATAAATGAATGAATGAATGAACGAGCTGAAATTGATAAGATACATAGTAGGAAATCAATATGTGTATATTTATTAGATCAACATCCTGTTTCATTTTAGTGGACAAACTCATTAGCTAGATTAATGAAAGAAGAAAGGGAGAGAGCACAAATACACAAAATAGTAAATGACAAATGATAATCATTTAAACAGAAAAAAAAAATGAGATTACTTTTGAAGCCCGTATGCAAATAAATTTTAAAATACACATGAAATTGATAATTTCCTAGGAAAATCAGATTATCAGTATTTTCACTCTAATGCTGGAAGGCTTAAATTGGCCAATTTTCATAGGAAAATTTATTAAGGAATGACTCCCACGGAGCACCTGGCTCACATGCTATTACAGGTGAATTCTAATAAACTTCAGAGATCAGATAGTATACCAGAGTACCAATGCTCTATAAATTATTCAACAGCCTTAAAAAGGAAATTTTCATAACTCCCTTGATGAAGCAAGTGTGACATGGGGAGATAAGTGTAGATGCAAAAAAGCTAGATAAAATATTAGTGAACAACATCCAACAACACATTTAAAAAATCCTAATATGCTTTGGCAAAGTAGGATTTATCCCATCAACGCAGGTTGGTTAGATATTAGAAAGTACCTTGATATCATTCACCATATTAATACAATTAAAGACAAATATCACATGGTTATCACCAGAGATGCTGAAAAAGCCTTTGGAAAATTCAACCCCTCTTTATGTTAAAAATTAGAAAAGCCTCAAGAAACTAGGGATCACAGGATGCTTTCTTAACATGAAAAAACATATATACCTAAGTCCGAATGCCAGTAACTTATTTATTGCGGTGGGGTGAGGGGGGACACTCAAAGTTTTCCCCGGGGATCAGGAACAAGGAATGCATGCCTACTACCTCGCACCTATTCAATCTTGTATTACAAGCCTTATAGTCAATTGACTAGAGAAATCAATCATTCTCACAGGAATGAATTTCAAGAGCTAAAAAGCACAGCAAAGGAAGGAATCAACAACGTGAAATGGCAACTTTCACATGGGAAAAAATAATTGCCAACCGTGTATATGAATAAGGGGTTAATATCCAAATTTTATAAGGAAATCATACAACTCTACGGCAGTAAAACAATCCAATTGAAACAATGGGCAGAGGGCCTGAATACATATTTCTCCAAAGAAGACGTACAAAATGACTAACAGGTATATGAAAAAGTACTCAACGTCATTAATCATCAGGAAAATGCTACTATGAGGCAACCCCTTACAACCATTAGGATAGTGATCATCAAAAAGCCAAGCGATAACACACATTGCTGAGGGTGTGGAGAAAAGGGGACCCTCGTACACTGCTGATGGGAATATAGATTGGGGCAACCATTACGGAAAACCGTATGGAGGTACCTAAAGAAATAGATTTCTTTTTTCTGTTTTAGAAATAAAATGGTAGTCCTACATTTTTCTATTTTAGAAAAAAATATGGTTGTGAAAAATAAAACTATTGTATGACTCAGCAACTCCTTTTCTGAGTGTCTACTCAAAGGAAATAAAATAACCACCTTTTAAATGTAGTTGATCTTTTAAAAGTACCTGAACTCCCATGTTCACTGCAGAATTAATCACAAGCCAAGATATGGAAACAAACTAGGTGTCCACGAAGGGACGGATGGGTACAGAAAATGTGTTGTATATTCACACTTATAAAAGGAGATCTTGCCACTTGCCAAAACATGGATGAACCTGGAGGACATTATGCTAAGTGAAATAAGCCAGATACAGAAAGAGAAATATTGCATAATCTCACTTATATGTGGAATCTGAAAAAATAAAAGTAAAATAAAACTCAAATATACAGAGGCCGAGAATGAAGCCGTGATTACCAGGGTCAGGGTGGGGGAGAAGGAGTGGGAGGAGGAAAGGGGGAGATGTAGGTCAGAGGATACAAAGTAGCAGATATGTAGGATGAAAGAGACTAGAGATCTAGTGTACAACATACAGAATACAGTTAATACAATTGTACTATTAAATAGGATGTGGCATTTCTGCTAAATGAATAGATTTTAGCACCCCCTGCTACCGAAACCAAAAATGGGTAACTATGTGACATAATGGGTATGTTCATTTGCTCCACTATAGTGATTGTTTTACTATTTATATCTGTCCCATAACAACATGTTGCATACGTTAGACATACACAATAAAACTTAACATTTTATAAAAGAAGTAAAGCCATCTCTATGTGCAGGTGATATTATAGTATACCTGAAAAACCCTGTAGAAACAATGATAAATCAACTGAAACAGTAAAAGAAGTCACTAAGTATTCTATTGACGATTTTTGCATCAATGTTCATCATAGATATTGGCCTGAAATTTTGTTTTTTACTTGTGTCTCTGCCAGGTTTTGGTATCAGGATGATGTTGGTCTCATAAAATGAGTTAGGGAGGATTCCCTTTTTCTATTGTTTGGAAAAGTTTCAGAAGGTATGGTACCAGCTCCTCTTTGTACCTCTGGTAGGATTCAGCTGTGAACCCATCTGGTCCTGGACTTTTTTTGCTTGGTAGGCTATTAATTGCTGCCTCAATTTCAGACCTTGTTATTGGTCTATAAAGAGATTCCACTTCTTCCTGGTTTAGTCTTGGGAGGGTGTAAGTGTCCAGGAAATTATCAATTTCTTCTAGATTTACTGGTTTATTTCCATGGAGGTGTTTACAGTGTTCTCTGATGGTAGTTTGTATTTCTGTGGGATCAGTGGTGATACCACCTTTATCATTTTTTACTACATCTATTTGGTTCTTCTCCCTTTTCTTCTTTATTAGTCTGGATGGCAGTCTATCTATTTTCTTGATCTTTTCAAGAAACCAGTTCCTGGATTCACGGATTTTTTGAAGATTTTTTTTGTGTCTCTATCTCCTTCGGTTCTACTCTGGTCTTAGCTGTTTCTTGTCTTCTGCCAATGAAATGCTGGCAAACTGAATCCAACAGCACATCAAAAAGCTTATCCCTCACAATCAAGTAGGGTTCATCCCTGGGATTCAAGGCAGGTTCAACATATGCAAATCTATCAACGTAATCCATCACGTAAGCAGAACCAAAGGCAAAAAACACATGATTATCTCAGCAGACGCAGAGAAGGCCTTTGACAAAATTCAACAGCCCTTTATGTGAAAAATTCTCGATAAACTAGGTACAGATGGAACATATCTCAAAATAATAAGAGCTATTTATGACGAACCCACAGCCAATATCATACAGAATGGGCAAAAACTGAAAGCATTCCCTTTGAAAACCAGCACGACACAAGGAGGTCCTCTCACACCACCCCTATTCAACATAGTATTGGAAGTTCTGGCCAGGGCAATCAGGCAAGAGAAAGAAATAAAAGATACTCAGTTAGGAAAAGAGGAAGTAAAATTGTTTCTATTTGCAGATGACATGATTGTATATTTAGAAAACCTCATTGTCCCAGCCCCAAATCTCCTTAGGCTGTTAAGCAACTTCAGCAAAGTCTCAGGATACAAAATCAATGTGCAAAAATCACACGTATTCTTACACACCAATAACAGACAGACAGAGAGCCAAATCATGAGTGAACTCCCATTCACAATTGCTACAAAGAGAATAAAATACCTAGAATACAGCTAACAAGGAATGTGAAGGACCTCTTCAAGGAGAGCTACAAACCACTGCTCAAAGAAATAAGAGAGGACACAAACAGATGGAAAAAAACATTCCATGCTCATGGTTAAGAAGAAGCAATATCATGAAAATGACCATACTGTCCAAAGTAATTTATAGATTCAATGCTATCCCCATCAAGCTACCATTGACTTTCTTCGCAGAATTGGAGGAAAAAACCAAAAAACAAAAAAACAAAACTTAAATTTCATATGGAACCAAAACAGAGCCCGCATAGTCAAGACAATACAAAACAAAAAGAACAAAGCTGAAGGCATCACACTACATAATTTCAAATGACACTACAAGGCTACAGTAATCAAAACAGCTTGGTACTGGTATCAAAACAGATATAAAGACCAATGGAACAGAACAGAGGCCTCAGATATAGCACCCCACATCTACAACCATCTGATGTTTGACGAACCTGACACAAACCAGCAATGGGGAAAGGATTACCTATTTAATAAATGGTGTTGTGGAAACTGGCTAGCCATATGCAGAAAGCTTAAACTGGATCCCTTCCTTACACCTTATACAAAAATTAACTCCATATGGATTAGAGACTTAAACATAAGACCTAAAACTATAAATACCCTAGAAGAAAACCTAGCCAATACCAGTCAGAACATAGGCATGGGCAAAGACTTCATGACTAAAACACCAAAAGCAATGGCAACAAAAGCCCAAATTGACAAATGGCATCTAATTAAACTAAAGAGCTTCTGCGCAGCAAAAGAAACTATCATCAGAACGAACAGGCAATCTACAGAATGAGAGAAAAGTTTTGGAATCTACTCATCTGACAAAGGGCTAATAACCAGAATCTACAAAGAACTTAAACAAATCTACAAGAAAAAAAAAAAAAATCATCGAAAACTGGGCAAAGGGCATGAACAGGCACTTTTCAAAAGAAGACCTTTAGGTAGCCAACAAACGTCTGAAAAAAAAGCTCATCATCACTGATCATTAGAGAAATGCAAATCAAAACCACAATGAGATACCACCTCATGCCAGTTAGACTGGCAATCATTAAAAAGTCAGGAAACAACAGATGCTGGAGACGATGTGGAGAAATAGGTACAGTTTTACACTGTTGGTGGGAGTGTATATTAGTTCAACCATTATGAAAGACAGTGTGGTGATCCCTCAAGGATCTAGAACCAGAAATACCATTTGACCTAGAAATACCATTTTACCCAGCAATCCCATTACCGGGTATATACCCAAAGGATTATAAATCATTCTAGTATAAAGACACATGCACACATATGTTTATTGTGGCACTGGTCACCGTAG